CCCCCGAGTCGACTTGAAGATCTGGGAGTCGATAACTGACTCATTGTGTGCTTCGTATATAGCGTTAAACTCCCTAATCGTGTACGCTCAATGCTCAAAATTACCCCGGTCAATTTTCAACCACAGCTCCCTGGGTAGGTGCTGGAAGGTTAACAGTCACATTACCACCAGATCCTACCGGGTACCCATTTACTGAGTGAACAGTGGCATACTCAGACTATCATATTATTATTCGCAATTTTAATGCAGAACCCGATAACAAACATTTGCGTTGTTGTGTATATCATTAGCATCTATTTGTGAATCACAATCAAATAGTCATGAGAGCTTTACCATCCGCGTAAAGGTCAGCGGATCCTGCTCCCCAGGTGGCACCCGTCATAAACACTCATAATACAATCTCCGCCCATACATCATTCTGAAATCACTATCAAACAAAGGTGTCTATAATCCAACTACGACCATCTGACAATTCCCGTATACAACTTACCTTCATGCATAATGCATGCAAAATGTATGCATGATGTATGCATCAAACACAACCGTCCACACCCGGACTCTAATTGTACCGTAGAGTTCTGTCTTATAGTTCTGTAATCGATAGTCTCAAGGAACGATATGAGTCGCGGCTATAGACGTACGCTGAGATACACCAGACCTTGAGAAATAGATCTGTTCTAGAGTAGTTCTAAATAGACGCACAATTACTACAGGAGCGACAGTCTGGCAATATGATTGGAGTCAATACACTAACTTGAAACTGGATATATATTTATTAAAGATAGTAAATTACAAGAATTTTGGATGAAACTGTTCTATTAAGGTTTGACAATGAACCCTCGGGTGACAGGTTTAATTCTCTAACAGAGATATTCGGATAAGTATATTGCGGACTAATCTAATATTTGGTCAGCTGATTAATTAGAAAATAAATCAGACGGCGACTTTTTCCAGACTTTTCAGATGCTCTCTCTTGTTCTGGTCAGCGATGTAGAATACAGAATCATGCAATGTCTGAGAGTTAAAGGGCAAAGGGGTAATGGGAGAATGTATAGCTTCGGTCCGTTTTGGGGGGTCTTTATTTAAGATTTGTTGTAAGTCCCATGGGATGAGGCAGCGTTTGTAGCCCGGGCTGATGCATAGCAAACGGTATACGACTGATGGAGGGAAACGGAATGATGGGTGAGAGGTCGATTGATGCGTGTATGTTGTTTTACGCCGTACACTGCAATATTCCAGGTACATGCCGGCGGTCTGTTAATAATCGAACCTGGACCAGACAATCCAGTGATGGATATTTTTTGTGAGCAGTGATTCACCCCCTCGGGATACAAAGACTCACAAAAAATATAGTGAGTGAGTGAGTGAGTTTGGTTTTACGCCGCTTCTTGCAATATTCCAGCAATATCACGGCGGGGGACACCAGAAATGGGCTTCACACATTGTAACCATGTCGGGAATAGAACCCGGGTCTTCGGCGTGACGAGCGGACGCTTTAACCACTAGGCTACCCGACCACCCCTTCAAATAAGCAAGTCACCGAGTCTGACCACCCGATCCATTTGGTCGCCCTTAGAACCAGCGTAGGTTGCTGGGGACCTATTCTAGCCCCGAATCCACGGGAGCAGATGAACCGATAAATTAACGAGATTGAATTTAATGTTTGCAAAACATAATTTGTATTCTACACAATGGGTGTATCAATCAGCATGAAATAGTTCAAAACATTAAAACATATTTCAGGCCTTTGTAAGTGCATAAGTGAGTGAGGAAAGGTTCAAAGTTTTTGACAGTATTGCAGCTATATCTCGGCGGGGTATACCAAGACGTATTACTCAGTCGAGGCAGTCGAGGCAGTCGAGGCAGTCGCTGGTCAGTATTTCAGCTATATGACGACATGTCGGCGAGAAGTGATGCCGTCGTTGATGTTACAGCTCTCAATATCACGGCGGGAGACACCAGAAATGGGCTTCACCATTTGCAAACATAGTACATTTCAGGTGCACCCCCCCCCCCCCCCCCCCACACACACACACACACACACACACCGTGATATTGCTGGAATATTGCTAAAAGCGGCGTAAAACCATACACACTCACTCTCTCACTACAGTGTGGCGAGCGAACGTTTAACCACTAGACTACTCCAAGTGTTCCCTGTCGACATTGGATAAAAATTGCAGTAAGCGGCATAAAACTACACTCAAACGTTCAATACCATACATGGATATTAGGCCTTTGAACCCAAAACAAACGCCGTACACACCTTCTAATCTTGTACCACTGGTCGATATTGATTACACATTGATAACGCCTGATTGTACTCTACCGTTACTTTCCCAATAGTAACCAAGACCGATTATCGTATTTTTATTTTTCTTATCATCTACTGTTACATAAAGACCGTTTCAAGTTCAAGAACATTTCTCAGACAACAGTATTGAACTGACTGTCAGAATGCGAATCTTAAATACGCGACATTCATGACAAGAACGGTTCTTTTATTATGAAATTCTATTACGATCCTTTAATTAACAACAAAGCTCTATCCGTAACATAACACATCCCTGTTAAAAGCAGAGTCCACTGCACGAATACAATCATACCAGACTGAAACATCGATCCTTTAATTAACAACAAAGCTCTATCCGTAACCACAAGACATCCCTGTTAAAAGCAGAGTCCATTGCACGAATACAATCATACCAGACTGAAACATCGATCCTTTAATTAACAACAAAGCTCTATCCGTAACTACAAGACATCCCTGTTAAAAGCAGAGTCCACTGCACGAATACAACCATACCAGACTGAAACATCGATCCTTTAATTAACAACAAAGCTCTATTCGTAACTACAAGACATCCCTGTTAAAAGCAGAGTCCACTGCACGAATACAACCATACCAGACTGAAACATCGATCCTTTAATTAACAACAAAGCTCTATTCGTAACTACAAGACATCCCTGTTAAAAGCAGAGTCCACTGCACGAATACAATCATACCAGACTGAAACATCGAACTCCTAAAGAAATGCATACAGATTATCCCCAATAGTATAATCCTATAAAAGCCCTTCCGACTGGTACGATCTTCTCTATCGACCAGGCTCTTCTCGCTAGCCCTACTCCCAACCCAGACCAAGACGTCCACGGTTATGTTCGAATCATGTACCAGTTTAAGAGCATCCCATGTTATTGGTGTTTGCTGAGCGCTCAGTGGGGCTCTCTCCTGGCAAAGTCATGCTCTTTATTCTTCAATACCGAATACTTCACCTCGCTGCCAAAGAGCTTAGACACATTTTATGGATAGTTTAGCGGTGAATTATGTAGAATGTACACACAAGATCCTGGTACCATCGATTATATGTCGATTTAACCGTAGTTTGTGACAAGGGAAACGACGATAGTGACAGTAACGTATATGTAGCTACTATGGTGCTTGACAACTTTTTATGGATTTTTTAAACCGTAAATTGGGTCAAATGTACAGACGAAATCTCGAATGTGTGTCACGTTATCCGTTATTTAGCATGCGTTAACAAAACGACGGGGGTAGTCTAGCGGTTAAGCGTTCGCTCGTCACGCCGAAGACCCGGGTTTGATTCCCCACATGGGAACAATGTGTGAAGCCCATTTATGGTGCCCCCCGCCGTGATATTGCTGTAATAATGTTAAAAGTGGCGTAATGCCATTTTCACAAATTCTAGAGGGAATATCAATTTAAATCGTATTAAAACATCATATCGGGTCATTGGAGTTGGAGTTAAAGAAGGTTTATTATGCGTCGCAGGTATTAAAATTACATCTTGATGTTGACATGAAGCGTTATGAATTAGTCCCGTAACACATACGATCATAGCTCTTAGACGATCTTTACTTCCGTGTTTAAAGTGGACAGTCGTTGTTCAAAGAGTTCTTTGTGGATCGAAGACCGTGAGGTCATATGCTTATTACTCTTTGGTTATATGTACACGAGGGAATATATCGAGTTATCAGTATTTCGAGACAAGCGGAGTGCTGCTATTACATGCAGAGGATAATGCTATAAGGATTCTCCCGGGATAATGTGTGTTTGTTTATTCATTGTTTATACGTCATAAACATCATCTTTTATCGAGGTGATGGAGCTGATTCATCAATTCACCATTAGGCAATACAGCGAATAACGTAATTTAAAAGAAATATTAAATTTTCAATATGTCATGAATATAAACCATATAGACAGCTTGTTGTATTATCAGATTGGTTATTTCATTAACATGTGCCAAAATGATTAAACAAAGCAAATTTAACATTTCTATATATTAATATTCATTACGTGACGATCTAATCAAAAGTACAATAACAAACGAACTATTACGCCATACTGTTAGGCAACACCGCTTCACGCCTTACACGGGTATTACGATGTGTGAATGGCGATTCGCTGATAATAATCAGTCATTAGGGGTTTTATACATACTCGTTTATCATGTTCACAGTTATTAGTAATAACCTTCTACTGTTATATAACATTGGTGATGTGTAAGCAATGTGTTAGGTTTGTCGTTGGCCATGAACTTGCCTGAGACGCATACCATCGTTAATATATAATCATCTCTACACACGTGATAAAAAGGGGTCATCAAAAGGAAGCATGTACGTGCATGAAAATATTAATTGTCATTATTTAAGTTTTTATTCATGTCTTACTCGCCTGTATTGGTAACTGACCACGCGATTAAAAGCAGTTAATTCGGTAATGAGTAAATGTGACTTAGATTATATTGTTAATTAGTTCAATAGTTACAAATTAAATCTTATAAATTCTTGGTTCGGACTTTTGTTACGTCCACATTTTTTTTAAGATAACTGTTAGTAATTATGAATTGTTACAAATTGTCATTACATTTAATAATCTTTGTTCTGACTTTTGCATGTTAAGTACCTCATTTATTACATGAAAAATGTGAGTTTTTATTCAACAGTTATAAGTTGTCATTAAATATTTCGCTTACCTTGGTACCCAATCGGATTTCTTTCGGCGTGCTGATCCTGTGAATCACATCAAGAAGATATTCTTGGAAGATTCCCACGCGAGTATAAAAACAGTCACTCTCCCAACAGCCCTCAATGTTGTCAAAATCTACTCCTATTTTTTTCAAGAAGGGAATACTTTTTTGATCAAACGCAATTTGATGCTGCCTGTTAAGTAAAACTTTCCTAAACATCTCTTCATATAAAATAATCTTCCCAACTCGTCCACTTCTCGCAGCAACGAGAACTGCCGTCAGCCCAATCGGCCCAGCTCCAACAACCACAACAGTGACTCGGGCCTGGCGTCTTCGTATGTTATCAAACAACGTCTTCGTGCACACAAATCCTGTCACCATCACCACCGTCAACAGCAGCTGCTGCATCGCTGTCGACGACGGTAACGTACCATAATCAGGGGAATCACACATTTTGTCGGCTGAAGGGACTGTACCAGTTTCGTCCGAACCATTCATCAGTCTATATTCCTTGAACTCACCGAGTTCGTGTTTTTCCACAAAATAGTTGAAATCCTCTTGACTTAAAAACGTCTTTAGCCTTCTCCGCAGTGTTTATACGTTCCTTAAGCAAAGATTTGTTTGAGACGTGGATAGGATTTGGGGGAGGTTTTTCCGTCCTGGTACGGCGTGTACGATCGAGGTGGCATTGACATATCCGACACAAATTGAGTCGGGATGGAGGTTACCATCGGACACAGTCCTGGCACATTGTCCCTGATTGCAAACATATAGTGGATTACTACAATTGAATCCACTTGATCTATGCCACAACATTAATCGACAGAACAATCCATTTCTCCTCCCTTGAGACAGTTACCGGTTTGTGTTATTGCTTTCTAATCGCTCCAAGAGGACAAACTCGGACCCTTGGGATTTCTCAGCAAATTCGTATAGCCAGTCGCTGTAACGAAAATCAAAACATATAATATATACCACGGTCAAAATGGTTATTGATAAAGAAGACTGATCTAATAACCTGCTTTCGAAAGCTCGTTACGCGAAGCAACGATCAGTGTCATCGAACTGCTACCGTTCAATTAATCTACGTTGACAGGCAATATATTTCAGGCTCATTATAACCAACTCTCAGTAACTCTTCATCTGACCACAATGACATTACCTTTCAAACGAATTGTCACACGCTCACATTTCAACAGAGAATCCCCTTTCACCTTTTTCCACTCCAGAACAAACGTAACCCAGTCTCATAACGGTATCCGAATTCTCAATACCAGGTGTTCCCAAGGTGAATGCACGCTCTGTGATATTGCCGACCGATAAAAGTCATAGAACCAATCGCTCTGCGCTTGGTTATTGAAGACCATTACGTCCACGGTGTGGTCATGGTATTGTCCGGTTGGCTTGGACAGCGAGGCCGGCAATTATTCGACCACACCAGGTGAAGTGCTAGCAACTATGAAGCGTGATGTTCTCCTAGTCTGTGTGTTAAAAGCAAACGGGCCAGAAACACAGTCAGTGTATTGATCTGTCCGGCTGGGCGGGGAGAAAGGTTGTTTGGTTCCAAGGCGTGTTGTGGATTCAAGCTTAGAGGGAAACATTCAGGCCCGTCTACCTCACGTAACGGTGCCCCCTATGTTTGTTTAGTTCGAGAGTCACACATAGTGCACCACGTGCAAAGGGAAACAGTGCAGCTTGCTCAGAATTACATTATACGGAAGTAGGGCGATGCGAGGGAGCGTATAGTGTGGTAGATCGTCAGTGCTTTAGAAACGTGTTTCGACGCTACTGAGTCACGGGTTTAAACATTACGTAGAGTCTCAATTCACTGACGATGCAATAACATGGACTAGGGTTCTGTCGACGGCCGTTATGTTGAGGAACTAGTAACGAGTTGTCAGTAAAACCTGTTTTATACGTCCCCTGTGTCCCGTCATATAGATCGGGTCGTGTTGCAGGCATTAAGCCAAGTTAGGTTTGAAAATGAAACATTGACTCGTGTCACATGTGTTATGAGTCTGAAATTACTATAGTAATTAACATAATCATATCATGGTTAATGGATACGTTTTGCTTCTTGAACTTGAGCACAGGTCAAACGGATACTGATATCTATACACACGCTTCTAAATATGACGCCAGGCTATCATCATCATCATCATCATCATCATTCTTGTTCATCATCATAATCATAATCATAATAATTTGCAGATTAAAATAAAGAAATGCAGCAAAAAGGGCGCGGGTGATCCTGGCACAGTCAGGTGCAATCAACTCAGAGCCCTTGCCCCTTCTACCCAGACAAAAATAACAACAACAATAATAATAATAACAACAACAACAACAACAACAATAATAATAATAATAATAATAATAATAATTATTATTATTATTATTATTATTATTATTATTATTATTATTATTATTATTATTACTATTGTTGTTGTTGTTGTTATTATTATTATTATTATAATTTGCAGATTAAAATAAAGAAATGCATCAAACAGGGTGCGGGTGATCCTGGCACAGTCAGGTGCCATCAACTCAGACAGAGAATGGGACTTCTCCCAGAAAGCACTGCCTTATCAAACCCACCCAGAGCTTATCAGAATGTGAAGACTCCCCAACACTGCAGCCTTGCATTACCCTGATTGTCAGAAGGGGTGTATACCTGGTTGCCCTCCCAATGACAGTCAACAGATTGGGAGGTACCAAACCTAAAACACGACACAAATAGTGTATATATAGCTTGAATACTGCAAAAGGCGGCGTAAAACACAACTCACTCATATTTACTCAGGAACAGCAGAACAGGGGGAATTAACATGTCTGAACGACGAATGAATGAAACTCCTGCTTTTACATATACTCATATGTACATTCAAACATACTAGTATCTGTTTTTTAAGCTGTTTTATCATGATAACGGTATATTGTAACGGTTTACCTTATGTGCGTGTGCGCCACATGTAATCCGACCCCGATTCTATCTTCGACAGCACGTTGCTGAAACACGATGCTTGCATCCGTCCCGATAACACGTGTCTTTTAGGGGGAACACGGAACAGCGTGTGACCAGGAAGTGTTTTGATGCGCGCTGAATGTGGAAGGGGGTGGAGAAAGTAACAGCTGGACACGGATCTATCACTTGAGTGACATATGTCCATTACAAAGCAGATTCAGCTGTGGAAAGTGCACGCAGTTGTATGTAAGTTGATCAGGACACAGGCTGATTCAATATTTAGACAGTGAACTCACGACGCGGAAACAGTGGTGGTTTTCGGATATCCTGTTCAAATTGCATAAAATTTACTTTTTTTTAAGGGACGTAGGGTTGAGTGGCTACAAAGGATTCATCCCGGAGTTTGCAAAAGACAGGAATGCACATTTAATATCCAAGTCACGAATTGACTTGGCCGAGGGCGCATGCAGCAACATCCCCCCCCCCCCCCCCCCCCCCCCCACCCCCTCACCTTCTAGTAAGCGATAGTGGTCGTGATCTGAGCGCTATTGCACAAATCAAGCTAAACGTTACGACTGTAGTAAGTCGTGATAATATAATATATATATATATATATGGAACCCTTGAAAAATGCTTAATATCAGGTGAGGCAATCTAGACTTGTTGCCTGGGGGATAGACTTTTCTATGTTTATATGGGAGTTACGACGGCCTTAGCGCTAAGATCGCTTGGAGGAATAGGCGCAGGAAAACCCTCTTTGCGAGTATTGTGAGTGAGTGAGTGACGTGGGATTGATGATTTCAGTTATTTCAAGGAGTGTCAGCAGGATAGTGTGCGCGTGTGTGTGTGTGTGTGGGGGGGGGGGGGGGGGGGGGGGGTGCAGGTCTTAGACGTGTACATCTTTGGTTGGACCAAGTAATATCGTCTTTGGAGTGAGCAAAGATTGTTTTACGCCGCATTCATCAACCTTCTAGCTATATCACAGCGGTTTGTAAGCCAGCGAATCTCAAGCCTGTGAGTGAAAACATGTAAAACGATCCACACTATTGAAACACGATATCGCCTCTAACGACAACCAATAGAGTTTACAAGGAGCGTCAGCAAATGTAAGATTCCATATTCTGTGTTATAGAATTACATCCAAGTACGTGTAGCTGAAAACACAAGACTGCATTTTTCCAATTTTCAAAGCGTTCTCTTGAAATTTTACATGACAGTTGTGAAACTGAACATTGTCTGTGCAATTCCATATTCAGAGTTATGTCCCTTAGTCTGGCCAGGGACCCTATGATCGTGTGTTCGAATCCAAGATTCTTTCCGATTATGATCCTTGGTCTGTTAACACTACCTACACATATGATCCCGACTTTCATTCGTGTTGAAAGTCAACACGACCTTCTTCACAACAGGCTCTCTTCAACATTAGGGATAAGGCGCCGCACTTCTTTCTGGCAGGCCAGAAACCTATGATTGTGGGTTCGAATCCCGGTTCGCCCCAATTATGTTTCTAGGTTTGTCAGCACCCATACCCGTGCTCGTGGGTTTCACAAAGTTGGCAAACGCCGAAAACCTGCGTCACTTCGGGCTATCCTCCCACATTAAGCTGACACGCCGTGATATAACTGGAATACTATTAAAAGCGGCGTTAAACCCAACTCACTCACTCATTCCTCCCTCATTACTGAAATCCGTCCGAAGTGTCTTCGACCCAAACACACCCACTAACAGCTACTGATTTCTATATGTTTTAACTCAGCGTCTGCGAGGTCCATGTCTATTAACCTTTCTTGTCACACATCGATTGGCTAGATGGACAGAAGCTATGAAGCTAGATGATAATTACAGGTTATAATAGAGCGACAATGTTGTGGCAAAGCACCAATAGGGTGCATCCGGCAAGGGCACGGGACATTGTCGGCCATTAGGATGATTGATCAGACGCGATATTTTCACAGCGGAGATTAAACGATTTTTCTACAAATTAGAAAGAATCTCTGGTCGCCGGCGGCATTTTATAGAAGCATCACCTTCATAGTTTTTGTTCCTTAGTCATGGCTGGTGACAGTTTTACTGAATTGATCAGGAAAAGTACGGTACGACTCTGTGTATAAGACGGACGTGTTGTTAAAAGGACTACTACACCCGTATACTAAAAAAAAAGAAGTACTCACGGAGATGAAAAAAACTGTTTTTTCGATCTCAGATTTTAAATAAATGCAGTTAATATACACAATATATAAATATTCAAACAACTCAATTAGTACTAATTGGGCCTTGGCACAAATACAGCGTATCAAAGGTTTTTATGTCTTTTTACACGTAAAAGTGTGTAAAAATATTAACAAAACAGACTATTGTGAAACTGAGCATAACCAGGTGTTAGTAGATCAAGGTGAATGTCATGACCTATGACACCTTGACGACAGGTGAAAACAGGTGCTTGAAACCAACGTGCATGTGATTTGTCAGTGGTTAGAGATGTGAGTGGCATTGTGGGATAGTGAATCATCGTCAAAATATCAGAACGTAAAAGTAACATATTCCCTTCTCAAACAACAACTTACATGTCATTATTATTATGTACATAAACATAACTGTTATTTTTATTGTTGTTTTGATATCTTTTTTCCAGGCTAATTTGCATAATGCCTACAGCCTGTTTCTGCCATGTCAATTTGGACTTAGTTTTATTTTTGAATGTTGAAAGTGCCTACAAATTACCTCCTGTAAAGTACATTTTGTATTGAGCACTGAGATAAAACTAACAAATCCAGACTAGTACTTTTCCAGTTGTTTGTTATTTCGTATTTACATCTACGTAATGCTTTGTGTCGATTATTAAATCCAGCAAAACAGGTTTTTTTCATATCCATGAGTACTTTTTTAGAAAACGATAAAACACAAAAATACGCCCGTTGTCTCGAATACGGATGTGTCGAATCCCTGGTTGTATCGAATACTATAATTATCACTATTTTAAC